TTTCTTTAGCTTGTGAATAACAAACAATCCTTATTCATGCTATATTGATGATTATTATGTTGAGCTTAGTTTAACAAGGGACGGGCTAGCAATTCTGCTCGACCCTCAGCTATGTCGCTCTGATCCTGTATGAGCTTTAGTCGTGATTCTGTGATACGTGATTGAATTGAGAATTTTTTTTCCTGCATTCCATGGCAACAGTTGCTCAAGAGCCAATTCAGTGTCTTCACTCTTTTGCTTTACCATGCACTTCCAGTAAACAGCACACTATTACTATTGCACTCAAGAAAGGATTGTGCGTACTCCTTTTTATGGTACCCTGTATATGTTGTCAACAATTCAATATACTTGGATGTTTCCTCATCTTCTTCAATAGACGAAGGATGGGATGAGAAATGGGGAGTGGGTTGGGTTAGAATTGGCCCACCCCCTATTAAGGCCCATCCTGAATTAGCTCGGCCTGCCATTGGAATTGGGTAATTTGGGCTTGGTTTCTCAAAAGTTTGGCTCTCGATCCTCTGCAATTATTGAGATAATTGGCAGTCAGCAATCCTCTTTTGATTTTTTAGTCAAGAATTATAATTTTACTTTGTGCATAATGGTTATATATTCCATATCTTGTTTCAAAATTACTCTTTGTTCTACAATATTTAATACGCTTTGAATTTTTTTGTAAGATTGAAAAAGATGGTACGGCGGACGTTTAGGTTACCAACGATAATCATAAATAAAAAAAAAAAGCAAGGTTAATGCTATACGTAGTCCTTAGGGTTATATATAAGCTAAAAGAGGAAAGAATTAATGAAATATCTTAATTAATTACACTAATTTGCGTGTGATTTTGTCATAAACTAATACCAAATAAGAAAATATATTTAATGCTTATTTATAACCCTAAAAGCTACATATAGCATTACCCTATTATAATTATAAACCAGTTGACAATAAAACCATAACTTTCACCATTAATTATAAACCAGTTGGCAATAAAACCATAACTTTCACCATAGCTTTGAATAAGGAACCTGAAGAGTAAGGGAAATGGGAAAACTGATATGAACGAAAATAGATTGAAAGAGTATTCCATTTCAAGAACTCTGTACTTTCTAATATCTTATATAGACTTAAGTACTTGATCGAGCACTTCCGCCAAAAAAGAAAAAGAAAAAAAAAAGGTACTTTTAAGAAGAAAACAAAAAGAGTATTTGATCCAGCACACTTTTGTAAATACAAAGGGAATACTAGAATTTGAGATGCGAAATAAGAAACTTATCAAGTGAGCCAACACTTTTGTTAATATATTACAAAGTATTTCGTTGCATAAAAAAAAAAAAAAAGTATTTCGTACTGTGTATCGTGTCTATTTGGCTTTCACAATTTTTTGTATGCGGCCTGCTGTATCGTGCGGCAGGGGTTACTCGAGTTGCCGGGGTTACTCGAGTTACTCGGTCAGGGGTTACTTGAGTTACTCCTGACTGAGTAACCCCTGACCGAGTAACCCCTCGAGTAATCCATGACCGAAACCCTTAAGTAACCCCGACCGAGTAACCCCTCAAGGAACCCCTAACTGAGTAACCCCTGACTGAACCCTCAAGTAACCCCTGACCGAACTCCTTCAGTAACCCTTGACCGAATTACTCGAGTAACCCTTAACCGGACTCCTTAAATAACCCCTAACTAAGTAAATCGAGTAACCTCTGACCGAGTAACTCGAGTAACCCATGACCGAGTAAACCCCTCGAGTAACCCCTGACTGAGTAACCCCTCAAGTAACCCTTAACCGAGTGAACTACTCGAGTAACCCTAGTCCGAATCCCTCAAGTAACCCCTGACCGAGACCGAGTAACTCGAGTAACCCCTGATTGTGTTGGGTTTCGTAGTGTCCGACTCTACGCGGAAGAGAAACCCACCCAAGACCCACCCACTAATTAAGGCAACTAAGCATGTAATCACAAATTAAACAGCAATTAAGAGAGAGAAGAAAAAGACATTCATACCCTTGGCGCGTGCTTCGCTCGAACTCAAGCTCTTACTTTAAAACTTGAACCCCGAAAATGCGAAGGTCTCCAACGGCTCGTACCCACGAACCCGACCCGAACGGTCCTAGTCCCGAAGGTTAGTCAGAACTTGACCAATAAAAACTAGAGTTTTACGAACTTAAGGTTTTCTCACGTTTCTAAGTAGATGCCTTTTTAGTTCCACTCAAGTGTTCTTCCCAAATCCCAAAACTTGGGTATTTATAGGGAAATGAACCTTGATTTCCCATTCTCAATCAATGTGGGAGATTTGCAATTTTTCCCATTTTATTTTAATCAAAACAAAATAAAATTGCAATTCAATCACCAAGTTACAAGTGGCAATAAGAGGAGAGGGAGAAGGTGAAGACCACCAAGGGAGGGGACCAACCCACCTTGTTCCCAAAGGCAAAGACCAAGCTTTGGTCCCCACTAGCAAAACCGGACCACCAAGCCAAGTTGGTGGCTGGCAGCCTGCCTTGGCTTCCAGCTGGCGCTTATCACCAAGGCTGGGCAGCCTGGCCAGCCAGCCAGCACACACGCACAGCCAGCCGCAATGCATGCGCAGCCAGCCAGTGCATGCGTGCTACTAGCGAGCCACGCATGCTGGGCTGATGCATATGCGCTGCTAGCTAGGCTGCTGCTTGGTGCGTCAATGCTGGGCGCTGTTATACGAAGCACACGCACAGCCCAGCATGCCTAACACGCTGCTGGCTGGTGCGTGGTGCTATGCGATGCTGCTGCTAGCAATGCGCCAGCGCCAGGCCCTAGCATGCTGGCTTGGTGTGTGCCATTGCCCAGCACCACGCATCGCCCAGCATGCCTAGCACGCTACTGTGCGATGCTGGCGCTTGGTGCATGGCAGTGATGGCTGGAACCGGGTACCCGATCAAAATTTTAGAATCCGGACCCGGAATTGGTTGGGACCGGGTCCTAAAATTTGGAACCGGAATTGGAATCGGTACAAGCGGGTCCTAAAATTTAGGAATTGGAATTGGTTCCATCGGGTACCGGTTCCGATTCCGGGTACCCACTTATGTATATATAAGTGTTGAAATATAATACAAATCATAATATTTTTTTTGGTGTATTTCTACTTTTAGCGTTTAATACTTATATTTTTATATACATTAAGCTATTTTAATTATATTAAATATTAATATTTTTTTTTATTTTACTAGTTAGTTACGTTCAACATATTTTTGTTTTTTTAAATATATTTTTTACAATATATGTTGGGTAACCGGTATAGTAGAGCGGAGAGAAAAATCTAGAAGTTTTAGGGTTTTGTTTGATAGTGGGTTGAGAGTTTTATAAGCAATTGGGCTTAGAAATTAAAATGGACTGTACATAACTCTTTAGTTTCTTAAAAACACAAACAATCCACATACTATATCATATACAACCGGGTACCCAGTGGGTACCGGGTCCAAAATTTTAGGATTTGGAACTGGAACCGGTTACAACCGGGTCCGAAATTTTGGACCCGGTCCCGGAACCGGTGAGACCAGTTCTGGGTCCGGACCCGGCGGGTCCTAATCGGTTCTGGGTCCGGTACCGAGTACCCTAGGTCTTTGCTCACCCCTAATGCTAGTACGCACGCAAGGCTGCGATGCTTGTGATGGCTAGCTAGCATGCATGGCCCTAGCACGCCTACCATGCTAGGCTTGCGGCTAGCATTGCGATGTGCATGCTAGCTTGAGATAGCCTAGCCCTCGCATGGTTAGGCCAATGCGAGGCTACGACCTAACTCGAACTTGTAACTTGATTGATTTCACGTCTCTTCGAATTCTAAATTCGACTCGACTTGCGACGTTCGGTCTCGACGCTTTAAGCTCGATATCTGACATCTTTGTTCGTAAAACTCTGACGACTCATCAAATCCTTCGGATTGATTCGTCTTCTCGGATCAGTTGTTTGATTGGGTTCGACCCGAAGGGTTCAGTCAAGATTAAGCTATAATATTAATTGTACATTAATATTACTGATCGGAAGCGGCCTTTACCTAGGCATTCCGATCACTTGACCTTACTGAAAAATTAGCTTTCTAATAATTCTGAACCCTTTACCGGAATAATACACTTGTTAGAAGGACACCATTCCTTTCACATTGAATAACTCGGGTAACCCCTAACGAAATAACTCGAATAACCCCTGCCACACGGTGTGGCCTGCTGCACCAAAAAATTGTTGTTTAGCTTTAGTACACATATGTATTACTGCGTATTAAACTATTTAATTATTGCAACTTAAATAATAGGAGGTACAAATTCAAACAATGTACTCCCTCTTTCCCTATTTTTTTGCCCCATTTGACTGTGCACGGTTTCCAAGACGCGTATTAAAATGTCTATATCTTTATTTCCATACAAGTAAAAATTATAAAAACGTGATATTAATAAAATATACAATGAGACGAATCTAACAAGACCACTCATGACTATATTATCTTTTATACATTAACGGTAATTTATGGTCAAAATTTTCAAAGTTTAACCCTGAAAAAGATAATGGGGCAAAAATAAAGAGACGGAGGGAGTTTTAGTTAATGTAGATTATATTTTTTAGTTGAGAAACCCAACTTGCGTCGAGCTAATAATACATGATAGGGATTGATAGCTCATAAGCAACTAATATACATGATTAATTATCGTACACGTAATTTATTAATAATACTCCGTAAATTGTTACAATATTAATGATAGCTCGTCATTTTTTTTTTTTTTTTTGAAGAATAAGTAAACACGTAATATCAGTATATCATGCTTTATTTACAAGGCAAGTAAATTAATTGCATTCAAACATTTTATCATGTGTGCAAATAAGAAAGTAGAGACGTATGCACCATACTCACCATCCAACTATTGCTATCACGTGTTATTAAAAAAATATATAAAATTAAATATTTCATGGACTATTAGCCGATGAGTGTGTGAAAAAACAATTCTTATAATATTTAATTTTTGATAATAATACATACAGAGCTTAAACTTCAAATTTAAACACTTGAATTATTAACTCCACACCAAATATATTACAATGATATTCTCATTTATCCAACAAATATGTACGATCTTAAAAATTTACGATTCGATTTTATTACCTAAGCTATTATTATTGGTACAATATGTACGATCTTTAAGAATTTACAACTCAATCTTACTTTGGTACAATATGTCCGATCTTAAGAATTTATGACTCTCAATCTTACTAATCTATGGTATTCTTAATGGTTTTGCAACAAACTACGACGATCACTAGACTTAATGAAAACATACTTTACTTCTAGTTTTGATTCAATAACATCCAAGATTGTGCTACTTGCATGTAAAAGGAGTTGCAACAACCTTAAGAGGAATTAGCTTGTGAACGGTGAAACCTACACTTTCAGCCACATCTAATTCATCTATTCCATCAGGCACTTTCCAATCAAACTCGTAGATGAGATTCGCAATAATAAGCTCGACATTAACAATGGTAAATGATATCCCAGGACAAATTCTTCTACCACCTCCAAATGGAATATACTGCATTTCTGGCCCTTTGAAATCAAATGTATTACCATCTAGGAACCTCTCACGACGAAATTCCTCTGGTTCATCCCAAAAATTAATGTCTCTCTGGATCGCCCATGCATTGATAATCACTTGTGTCCCTGCTTTGATGTCATAACCAAATAGTTTGACATCCTGAGACGGCTCTCGAAAGAGCAACAAAGGAGCTGGAGGGTGCAGCCTAAGTGCTTCCTTGATAACAGCCTTTAGATAAACTAGTTTGCCTAGGTCGTCTTCGGTTACCCTAGGGCCTGGGATTTTTCTCACCTCCTTTTGTAGCTCTTTCATAATTTTGGGATGCCTAATCAGCTCACACATTGTCCATTCTATTAGCGCGTAAATTGGTTCAGTCCCAGCAGCAAACACATCCTGCATCAAAATTTTTAGCAATGAAAAGTCGTAAAAGCCCTGTTATTTTGAGATGTTCAGAAAAAGTTGTCACATCTGACCACAGTAATGAGGATTCGCACTAAAATATACAAGTACTTACCAGAGTAATGGCTTTCATTCTTGTGATAGCTTTGATATCGTCTGATAGAAAAACATTCTTCTTCTCCCTTCGAAATTCAAGCAAAAAGTCAACAAAGTTCCCAGCATTCTTCCCTTCTTCAGATTCTGCATCAGTGTTTTCCTTCGAACACAGAAGATTCTGATGTTCTTGTACTACTGTATCAAGAAACTCATCTAACCCTTTCGCGACCTTTTGCACTCGGCCTTCTAGACCCCTTACTCGATCCACCCAACTAAGCCAAGGTACAAAATCTCCTAAACAAAAATCCTGAAGTAACTCGATTGCTTCAAATAAGAGCTCTTTGAAATTCATACCGCCCTTGTTGTTGCTGTTGCTGTCGCTGTTGTTATTGTTGCTGTTACACTTCATGCCAAAAGCGGCCCTGCTAATTACATCATTGGTGAATGACATTAAAATGTCAGTCAAATTTACCACTGAAGATTGAAACTTTTTTATCTTTTCAATAACTAATGCAACTTCTTCTTCTCTTATTCTTCTAAAAGAAGAAACTCTTTTGTTACTCAATAACTGCAACGCGCAAATACTCCTCATCTGCTTCCAATACTCTCCATACGGCGAAAAGGCCACATCATTGCAGTCATAAAAAAAACTACTGGCAACCCGTGATTTTGGCCTGTTTGAGAAGATTATGTCATGAGTCTTCATGATTTCACGGGCAGCATCTACCGATGAAACGACTAAGGTAGGCTTACCACCAAAATGTAGCAACATAAGGTGGCCATATCGTCGTGACAATGAATGAAGTGAACGATGAAGCAATGGATTTAGTTGATGAAGGTTCCCTATGATCGGAAGCTTTGGTGGAGATGGTGGGAAATTTTTTCTTGATGTCGGACTTGTTAAAAGGTTCTTGTACAAAAGTATTACAAAGAGTAAGAATGGGATGAAGTAGAAAGGGTTGAAATTAAGTTTTTGAAACGATTGTAGAAACAAAATAAACATGGTTTCCATGTATTTTTCTGCTAGAGTAATAGATTTTTTTTTTTAATCTTTGTAAAAGAACGAAGTAATAGGCAAGCTAAGTATTTTAATGGAAAAATATGAAATTATACAACTATATATATATATATATATATATATATATATATATATATATATATATATATATATATATATATATATATATATATATATATATATATATATATATATACACTAGCATAAGGATGTAAGGTACTCAGTAACTACTACGAGTACTAGATGAAGTAGGTTTTTAGGTTTTTTTTTTTTTTTTTTTTTTTTTTTTTTTTTTGGTGGGTACCCCTCTAATTATAGGATTCCACACAATATTATGGTTAAAAAATTTATTAAATGGCAGGATATCATTGGACAAGTACTACTGTACTGGGTACTTTATACGGACTATGGAGGAGTAAACCTGGGCACGGGCCGGGTTGGCCCGCGTGCCGCCCGGCACGGCCCGTCGTTCGGCGCAGCCCCGGCCCGAATTCAAGCACGGCATGGCACGAAGTTCAACTCCCGTGCCACGGACAGGGTTGAGAATTCCCAGGCACGACCCGGCACGAGCACGGGCATGGCCCGCCGTGCTGGCCCGTCGTGCCGGCCCGCAGGCCAACGGTGATGTTACCGTTTATTCTAGCTCCTTAATAAGCCTAAAAAACGGCTAGTTTTTTGCCAATTTGCTCCCCAAAAATTCTATAAATACTCACCTCTATTTCATTCCCAAATCACAAAATCACAATCTCTTCTTCTTATCTCTTATATTCTCTAAATCTCTAATAATCCTTATTTTCTTAAATTCTCTAATTATTCTCTTAAATTCTCTAATTATTTTCCTAATATCGGAAAAAATTAAAAAGTTCGTAATCGTAATTAGTGGAGCTTTGAAGCACGGTTGTAAGATCTAAACTAATCTTAAATTTATTATTGTTTTATTGTTATTATTAGAATAATCTTGTTTAATTATTATTGTTGTTAATTGTTATTGTTGTTGTTATAATTGTTGTTATTAATTATTATTATTGTTACAATTGTTGTTATTATTTATTTTTGTTGTTATTGTTATTGTTATAGTTGTTGTTATTAATTAATATTATTGATATTTTTATTGTTAAAATTGTTGTTATTAATTATTATTATTATTATAGTTAACCACTTTTTATTAAAAAATTAATTGTTAATTATGGCATCGAACAACCCATCATCTAGGTCTAGGGGGAAAGGCCGACTTATCCGTAGTAGTAGTTCTAGGGAACCACCAAATACAACGAGCCCCCAAATTACGAGTCAAACCAATGACCCCATTTACTTCCCCCCGGGCTATGAGCCATATAATACGTCGGGATTTCCAGCACCACCACTAAACCAATTTCCACTACCACCATACCAATTTCCACCTAATTATATCGGTGATTAACAAAACTATTGTTCTAGCCAAGGTAGCCAAGAAAGTACCCGAATTCCCTCCGGTTCTACCCCTTCTACTGCCACTCCCACTAGTCCCACTACTAACCATCACACACATCATGAATGGTTAACCGAAACTGAGATGCTACTTTGAAAAACCGAAGGAGTGAGGTATGGCGTTATTTTGTCCTAAGTAAAGATGGTGAACAATGGGCAAAATGTAAAACATGTAATAGTGTATTCACGGCAGTTACCAAAAACGGGACGGGACACTTATCTAGACACATGAAAGCTTGTGCAAAAACCAGCTAGTGATCCAACCCAGCCCAAAATTTCCCAATTCCATCCATACGGCTTTACATACAACTATGAGAGGGATAGGGATGAACTAGGAAAAATGATAGTACACGCCGAACAACCTTTTCTTTTCTCGGAAAGTGACGCATTCAACACCTACATTAACAAAGCACTACAACCCCAACATAAAAGAATCTCTAGGAAAACCGTTCGTTCCGCCGCAATGAAAAATTTCCTAGAGTACAAAGTCCGGTTACAAGCCGAATTGAGTAACCTTAACTGTAGAGTATCTTTAACAGCCGATTCTTGGGATAGTGGTTATAAATATCACTATTTATGTGTGACTTGCCATTGGGTAGATGATCAATGGATGTTACAAAAAAGAATAATACATTTCAAAATGCTGGAATACCCACACACCGGCATTAACATTGCTCACCATTTAATGCAAGCAATAGGCGGATACAACCTTCGAGATAAAATGATGTCTATGACTTTTGATAATGCAACCTCTATGACATACACAGCTAATCTTATCAAACAAAACTTAACCGATGTACTATTAGACGGTGAAGCTCTTCATACTAGATGTGTTTGCCATGTACTTAACTTATGTGTACAGGATGGAGTTCGGGCAATTGGCCCATACTACAGCAAAATCAGAGATGCTATTATGTCTATTAATAGCTCTAACATGAGATACCAAGAATGGAAGAGTTTTCTAAAACAACAAAAGATAAGGGTAATAAAAATTAGAACCGATTGCCCAACTAGGTGGAATTCCACCTATGACATGTTAACAAAGGCAATTGAGTACAAGGGCCCGTTAACATTATTTTACAACCAAAAATTTCCACAAAATGCTTTGTATGATGATGATTGGAATAACTGTGAAAGATATATGCAATTTTTACAGTTATTATATAACATGACGTATTGTTTTTCTACTGTTTACAATCCTTGTGCTCAAAACTTTCTTTCTAATGCATGCTTACTCGCCCAACTTTTCGCTGATCATCGCCATCAAAGTGATTATGATCAGTATCTTCCAGCAATGGAAAAAAAGTGGCGTAAATATTATAGTGAGATTCCTTTGATTTATATTTTTGCTTCCATATTAGATCCTAGGCAAAAGTATGAAAACGCATTTATGTTAGTTGACATTTACTTTCAATGCATGTTTCTTGACGATGATGTAGAAAACTATAAGACTAATGTGAAGGATCAGTTTTTTGCTTTATATAGAGTCTATGAAGCCAAATATGGCACCGTTCCTCGCTCAGGGCCTTCCCAACCATCCAAAAACGTAAGTAAGAAGGCCAAACATTTATTTTCACAAGCTACTAACTTGATTTCAAGGTTTTCAGGTGATTCATCAATCAGGAGAACGCAAAGCGACGTCTCGGAGTTGCAGATGTACCTGAGTTACGACTTCACCAAAGGCATGGACGACGATGAGATAAACAGCCTCGACCTCCTTGCATGGTGGAAACAACAAAGCTCGAAGCATCCAACTTTGGCGGCAATGGCACGAGACATTCTTGCTATCCAAGTTTCCTCCGTCGCCTCCGAACGAGCTTTCAGCGCATCCGGAAGGGTTTTAGACGATAGAAGAACAAGTCTAAAACCCGAAACACTAGAAATGTGCGTGTGTTTCAAAGATTGGTTGGATGCAGAAAATCACTCACAAGACCGTTCTTACGACCACAACGACAACGAAGAAGGAACCTCCGCTTCCGGTTCGGGTTCGGCTAGTTCCCAATCTATGCAACTAGCCGATGACCTTGAAGGCGAAGGCGAAGGCGAAGACGAAGACGAAGACGAAGACGAGCAAGAAGAAGGAGAAGAAGAATAGACAATTATTGTATATTGTACGATTTTAAAAATATCAATTTTATCATTTTCCAATTTTTGTTTAATACCATCATTGTATGATTTTTATCATTGTTATCATTGTACAATTTTCTCAACTCAAGTAATAATAATATAAAGTACGCATTATTCACGTCCAAAGTCCAATTTGCCTTTTTTCCCCGTTTTGTTACAATTTGTAAATTCATATTAAAAAAAAATAAAATTATACCAATTACTAATAAATCATAAACATTAAATTTTAAAGTAATAGTATAAAGTAAATATATAAATATAAATATTGAATATACAAATTATAAAACATAAATATTCAACTTATAATTATAAAATTCATAACTTAATAACTTATAACTTATAAGTTATAAACTTATAATTTATAACCTTATAAAACTTATAATTATAATTTTATAACTTATATACATTATAAACTTATTAATTTATAATGTTGTCATAAAAAAAAAAAAAAAAAAAAAAATTATTTGAAAACTGCACCAGCCCGCAGGCCGGCACGTGGCCGGCACGGCACGAGCCCGCCAGGCACGAGGGTCGTGCCGTGCCGTGGGCTGGCCTGTGAAAATGGCTGGCACGGCACGGCACGAAATCCTGGGCCCGCCGGCACGACGGGCACGGCACGAACCAGCCCGTGGCCCGCCAGGCATGGCCCGCGGCGGCCCGGCCCGGCACGGTGCCCAGGTTTATGGAGGAGGTTTATGTAAGACGCTCAAGGTGCCAAATTATTGATTACTTTACCAAGCTTTAGTTTTGTCACCACACAACCAAAAAGGTGTGGAATCAAACTCCAATAGAGGTAATTTGGAGTAGGGATTCTCTTAACCTTCCCCCACCCCTCCCCCCCCCCCCCCAAAAAAAAAATAAATTATCTAGCTCGTTAATTCGAGTCAGATTGTACCTGTGAGAGGTTCCTGCCCGATAAAACCCTTCTCCTAACCGTTTAAAAATAAATAAATTTTTGATTACTTTTTCACATGTTTCAATTGTATATTGCTACATAATTTTTTAATTCTACTTTATTATTATTATTATTATTATTATTATTATTATTATTATGCATACAAGTTTGTGTCAGTACATGATTATAGTGAATTATGCGTGATTTATGCATGAGTTAAGTTCAATAATGTGAATTATGCATAAAAGTTAAGTTCAAGAATGTGAGAATCATTCATGCATACAAGTTTGTGTTAGTAATTATAATCAAGCCTTAATTTAAATCTGAAAATTAATTTTGCGTAGTTTAATTGCCTTTTTTAGAGATAATGGATGAACTTATATATAAATCGATGAGTGTGAAAATGAAATAATTACAAGTTTAAACAAAAAAAAGAAAATACCTTTTTTTGTTTAAAAATAATACTTCTTCCTAATTAAAGAAATTTAGGAGGTAGATTCACGCTCATCGGCTTATGTTTACGGAGTATAACATTAACATCTTAGCCACTAAATCATGAAATTTCGTATGCTATTCTCTTAAAAGTAAAGTTTTATTAATAAA